TATGGCCGAATTCACCAGTACCTGGTGCAGGTTTTTAACACCATACACAGGAGGGCACAGCAAACCCTGACAAATGCCAAGTGAGATGTCAAGTTAGCAGTAAACAGGGCTTACCTGCCAGCCCAGAGACCTCCCCAGGACTCTGGAGATTTGATATGGTGAAAGCTTTTATGTTTGGATGATGATGGGTTTGTCTGTGATCTGGGGCATGAAACACATCTGTACCATGCTTTCTGGTTTAGAAAGCTCTTTCCATTGTATCATCATGCTGAACGGCCTCATCACTATGAGGAGGGCATTTTTATCCTCATTTTCCAGACAAATAAGCAGAGATTCAGAAAGTTAAAGACTATGCAACCAAGAACTGGGAAACTTGAGACTGGATCCAAGGTTTCCGACGCCCCTGATCTCCTCATGACATCATGAGAAGAACCATGTGTGTGCCTTCCAGGCAGGCTGGGTTCCAAGTCCTCATGGATGGACAGAGTGGTGGGGGGTTTGTCCTTGGAGGGACTCAACAGGTGCAAGAGTGCAGCAGACTCCAGCAAACACAGTTTGGACTTCGTTGTTCTCTCATGCAGATACACACAGATTTGTGTAGGAAAAGGCCACTTCCCACTATTACTAGTTAAGATCTTTGGACAAAGGCTCATTCTGAGCCTTGTTATTCACATGTTTACAGTGGGGCTTACATTCCTACTCCTAGAGCTGTTGTGAGAACGACATGAAACTCAGGGAAGTGCAGGGCCCCTCTGCCTTAGACAGTCTTCCCTGTTCCCTTCCTGAACCGTGCTGTTTCCTTCCTGAACCGCGCTGTGTCAAGACTGCTCTCCTGTGCTTTACCTCTCACTGCTATCAGGCAAAAGGATGGTGAAGCAGGGCAGAGTATGGGAATCTGCCAACTGCCCTTCTTCTGTTATAGAAAATGGTCCTGGGGGCTGGAGAGACAGCTCAGCAGTTAAGCATGTTTGTTTGGTTTTTTTTTCTCTTGCAGAAGACCTGGGTTTGATTCTCTGCACCCACAAGGTGGTTCACAACCATCCATAACTCCAGTTCCAGGGTTCTGATGCCCTCTTCCAACCTCCATGGGCATGAGGCATATGATAGCCATACACATACATTCAGGCAAAGCACACATACACATAAAAAGTAAAAAGATGGTCCTAGCTCTGTGGCAACGACCTTCTAGGGGTCGGGAGGTCAGCTGGTGTGAAGCCACAGCATGCACAGAGTGCCGGATGGGAAGAACAACCGAGCTGTCATTTCTTGACTACTACTGATTGCTCACTCTGAAGGCATTAATTGCTTTTGATTATTGTGATACAGCACCTGACACAGACAAGGGAGGAAGTATTTATTTTGGCTCATAGTTGCAGAGAGTTCTGTCCATAGTCCTTGGTTCTGTTGATTCTAAGTCTGTGGTGAGGCAGAACACCCCAGCTGTGGGAGCGTGTGGAGGAGGGGGAGGTTGTTCATTTCATGGTGGGCAAGAAGCAGAGAGCGAGGAAAGGACTGGAGACTCCAGGAACCTACTTCCTCCAAATAGGTCTCATCTCCTAAAGTCCCAATAGTGCCACCATTTGGGAACCAACCATTCAACACATGAGCCTGTTGGGGACATTTATATTTTAACCACAGCACATGAATATAACAGATCGGAGCCCAAAGTCCTTGAGTAGACTTTTAAAAATTCCTCCTAGACTACGAGTTTTCCTTCCCCTGATCTTTGGGCAGCTGGAGTCTGTTCCTTCTACCCAGTCTCTGGCTGTAATTTTGCTTCAACTCAGACCCTCTGGGCCTCCTCCTTTAACATAGCAGCAGCAGCAGCAGCAGCAGCAGCAGCAGCAGCAGCAGCAGCAGCACAGATTGGATGTAGCAGGATCTGACTCCAGCTACTTCATCCTACACATCTGTCCTCTGCAGTCTTTCCTGAATTGTCCTCAGCACCAATCTGCCTCTGCACCTCGGTTTACGCTGTGCCCTTCTCTTGGAGCACTTTTCCACAGAGTTCCCACTGTATTTGATCACAGTTGAATGGCTAGTCCAAGACCACCTATGCCAACCCTAACCTGTTTTACTTAGAGGGACCATGGAGCTATGGTTCTGTAAACCTCATTGTATACAAGGTAGGAATGCCAAATTTACAAAGTAAAAATACAAGACACCCAACTAGACTTGAATTTCAGATGAATAAGGCATAGTTTTTAGTATGTATGTATAATGCTTAGAATATACTTATACTCAAACCTATGTATTTATTATTCATTATTATTGTTATTAATTTTGGTTTTTCAAGACAGGGTTTCTCTGTGTAGCCCTGGCTGTCTTGGAACTCACTCCACAGACCAAGCTGGCCTCCAACTCAGAGATCTGCCTGCTTCTGCCTCCCAAGTGTTGGGATTAAAGGCATGTGCCACCAATGCCCAGCTCAAACCTATTTATTTATCTGAAATTTGTAATTGTATTTTAGGTGGCTACTTTGGTTTGTAAGTCTATAGTATAGTAGCTCAGCATCCTTTTGGGAAGGGTGTAGCTAGAGTTTTCCTGCCTGGCCCACAGTCAGGACAAATCTCTGTCACCCGCAGTCCCACAGCCGCTCAGACCCAACCAAATAAACACAGAGACTTATATTGGTTTCAAACTGTATGGCCGTGGCAGGCTTCTTGCTAACTGTTCTTATAGCTTAAATTAATCCATTCCATAAATCTATGCCTTGCCACGTGGCTCGTGGCTTACCGGCATCTTTACATGCTGCTTGTCATGGTGGTGGCTGGCAGTGACTCCTGACTCAGCCTTCCACTTCCCAGAATTCTTCTCCTCCTTGTCCTGCCTATACTTCCTCCTGCCTGACTACTGGCCAATCAGTGTTTTATTTACTAACCAATCAGAGCCAAACATTTGCCATACAGAACATCCCACAGCAGAAGGGTGAGGAGTTTTGTGGCTTAGACTGGAATAGGGCCTAGGAACCTACAAATGAAGGTGGGCTGGGGCCCACTCAGTCTAGGGCCCTCATTTCACAAACCAGAGATTCAGTTCACACTGTGGGTGGGGGACAGAGGGTGGCTGTTACTCAAAGCCTGACCCTCACTTCCATCACAGCTCCCTCCTGGGCCAGCAGCCTTGTCTTCTGGGCTGACTGAGAGCTCAGGTTCCCACTCCCCTGCCCCTGACCTGCCCTTGGCTGGCTTCAGAGGGGGGTCTGATGACGAAATGTGATCCTGTCATAAAATCTATACCAAACCAACTCTTCTCACAGCCCACCCGTCTGCCTCAAAGGGGGCCACCTAATCCTCATTTATGGAGACTAGCAGCTGGGGCGGGTCTGAGTCTTTGAACGTGAGCTTGGGGTACTCTGGATCAGTCAGTGTTGGCCAAAGGAACCTGAGAGTGAGAGCATTTAGCTGAGAAAGTTGAGGGGCCAGCTGGTCATGGGTCACCAGCCCAAAGAGCACCAGGCAGAACTAGAGCAGTCAGAGGTGCTAGAGATGGAGGAAAACCCCACGAGGCACCTCTCTGAGAGTGTGGCAGCTGGACCTTCTTCTATCAGTGGAGGAAGGAGACTACAGAGCTTCCCGGAAAAAGCAAGGAGAGATAACTTCTGGGAGATGACTTCAGAGCCCTTAGAAACCTCTGGGCATATAAGTGAAGGTCCAGTGAGGATGTCAAGGTTGGGGTGTCTGGATGCCGAGATTGGGTTAGGAATAAACCATGGCTCTGGTTTAGGTGATGTACAGGGCAGAGGGACCCATACAGAGATGGGGACACCAGGAAAGGAGCAGGAAGAAACTAGGCTCCTTTGAGCCATGCCACCTCAGAGGACTCTTGGAAAGCTTGCAGAGATGTGACTGGGTAGGGAGAGACAGGATGGAGATCCTGAGGTAGTGTCTTCATCTGGACCCGATTCCCTTTTACCAAGACTAGAAAAGAGGGTCTAGAGGCCAGAACTGAGAAGGACCCACACTCAAAGCAGGGCAGCAACAGAAGAGCCTTCAGGAGAGATGGAGAGGGTGGTCAACAGAGACAGAAAAGCAGAGGAACAGGGCAAATGGGAACCAGGGAAGCATCCAGGTGTTGAGGCTGAGTCCCCAGGCCCAAGGGGAAGGTTGCTTGGGTTTACAACTGGCCTGGTTCAGTGGATGAGCAGGAAGAAGGTGGCGGTGCCTAGTGTAGACAACAGTCTAAAGAAGATTGCTGGTGGAGACATCGGAGGGGACAGTAGCTGGAGGAAAGATGAGGCTTCCCGAGGAGTGGCTTGTGAGAGTTTCCAAATCTAAGTTGAAGGTCAGGAGGTGGGAAAGAGGGAGAGAGCATGTTTTTTGCACTCTTGACCTCAACTCAGTCCCCCTGACATTTCCTCTCAGTCCTGGGTCACCAGCACTCTCTGACACACACACACCCAAAACAATTGTGTCACCATGCACTTGTCTTTACTGTGTGTGACAATTTGATCTTGTTTCTTTTAGCTTTTTTTTAAAAAACCGTTGGCTCACAATGGTCAGTTTGAGAGACCTGGGAAGCTAGATAGAGGAAGGGTCAGGGTGGACTCTTCAGGGGACAGTCAGATGGAAGGACTGTCTTCCTATGGGGAGAGGGATCATATTAACCATTTGAATGGGAGGAATGGAGGCTGAGGTTTGGAGTTCTGGGCATGGCACGCCGGTGGGGATTATCTGGCCTTGATGAAAGCTAAGGTTGGGACCCAGTCAGCTCTCCCAGCCCTACACCCCTGCCATGGAAGTACGAAAGTGAGAATTACATGTTTTTTGAAGTGTGTGGGAACACAAGCTATAGACACAGATGTACAGGGACAATTATAGATGCTTGTGCAAAGGCAAATGCACGCATCTTTATTCCTGCTATTACAGCTGCATACACATAGCACTCATATTCATATACAAATGCTGATCTAGACAGCATGTATATATCTAAATGGACAAACACATTTTAAGCATGCATACATGTGAGTACACATCTTAGGGCACATTCAAATCACATACCTACGTACATGCAAGCTCACATACTCAGCAGGCAGGGAGATCCAGGATGAGGCTCATCCATTGCATTCAGATGTGCTGACCACTGTGATTTCCACAAATGCCAGAATCGGCTGCATAACTTGTTGGGGGCTCTGTTCCCACATTTCCCTGTAAAACAAAAGAAAAAAAAAGCATGTGTACAAGCAAGAGCACATAAATACTGAACCCCAGGACTTAAGAGTGCTCCTTGAGAGTTTCCCTCCCTCCACTGGCCCCACTTCCGTCTCTGTGTGTCTTTGTCATCCCTCACTGCTCTCTTTCTCAGGCCCAGTCAAGTCCTGGAACACTTTCTCAACTGCCTTGGCCCTCTCATCTTTCAGCCACAGCTATGTCGTCTCCCTTCCCAGAGGCCTAGTCTGGAGCACCCAGTCAGCCCCCTCCACTTCCCTTCCCTGACAGTCCGCCTCCTGTCTTCCTCCCTTGCAGGTTCCCCCGGATCACCAGCTCTTTCTTTCACGGCCCTATGCAAACAGGCCTTAATAAATAAATACAGGCTGATGAAAGAATAACTACTGTGTGGAGTAGTTCTGAGTCTCAGGAGCTGGAGGAGGTGGGTAGTGCCATTATCTTTCCATTATTGTCTTTATTTTCTTTACATTTATTTATTTAAAAAATATTTTATGTTTACGGTTGTTTTGCCTGCATGCATGTCTGTGAGCCATGTGCATGTACGTCTGTGTACCATATGCATTCCTGGTGCCCGGGGAAGGCCAGAAGAGGGCACCAGATCCCCTGGTAGTAGAGTTACAGACAGTTGTGGGCTGTCATGTAGGGGATGGAAATTGAACCCTGGTCCCTTGGAAGGGGAGCCAGTGCTCTTAAGCCCTGAGGAGCCCTTCCAGCCTCCCTATTTTAAATTTTAATTGTGTGTGTGTGTGTGTGTGTGTGTGTGTGTGTGTGTGTGTGTGTGTGTGTTGTGAATATCTCTGTGTATGGGTACCCACAGAAGTCAGAAGAGGGTGTTAGACCCTCTGGAGCTATAGTTAGAGGCATGTATGAACAGCCTTAAGTGGGTTCTGGGAACCAAACTAGGGTCCTCTGGAAGGAGCCGCAAATTCGCAAATGCTGAGCCATCTCTCCAGCCCCCAATGCTTCTACATTTTCTAGCGGAGCAACATAAGCATCCTGTGTGTCACAGCTGGGTCTGAACTCTATTGCCAACTGTTGGCTTTTCCTCTGGCCCTGGAGTCTGGTCCTACTGCAAGGGAGTACAACCCCTCTTCACAGCACCCTTTACTCTGTTACCCAGGCAATCTTATTGCTAGCAAGGGCCTAATACTCTGCTGTGGATCAGCTTGACGAAAAGGAGTTACAGGGAACACACCTGGCCAGGTGTGTCTGGGGTTGCAGCTGTCAGGCGGTTTCTGCAAGGAACCCTGACACAGGACAGAGAATGCCCTCTCGGAGCTGGGTGCGAGTCACCAGTGGAGGCCAGAGGGTCGCCAGCGCTCTCACCTGTCGGGCCGCCGCCGCCTGGGCGGGTGCTGGGTGGGCTCGCACTGCCGCTGGGTGGCCTGGCCCGGGTCCGACAGCGCGCGTGCTCTGGGGACCCTCCGGGGACTCGCTAGGGAGCGGCGAAGAGGCAGTGGCCTGGCGGGGCCAGGTGGGGCGGCAAAATAGCTTTTCCAGCTCTGGAGCCCCGGCCGCGCTGTTGACACAGTCGCCGGTTTAATGAGAAATCTGGAGCGTGCGTGGGAGACGCGGCGCGGGGCGCACAGATGCGGCGCTGGCGGCGCGGCCCAAGGGAAAGCACTGGGGCGCGCTCACCTTTGAACTGCCGGGGACGCTGTTTACCTTGGCTATCCGAGTGGCAGTTTTACAGATATTAAATACCGACCCGAGGGAAAACAGGGCTCGGGGGCTGCCTGCGCCAAGGGATCCCGCGCCCTCCCTGCAGCTGGCGGTCGGATTCGGTGCTGGGGAGACGCCCGGCGCTCGCATCTCATCCAGTCCCAGCCGGGCTGTCTCCTAATTCGATTTTCCGTGTCCGGAGGAGGAGGTTGAGGGCGGTCTGGGCCTTGCTCACACGCCTCTTGGCATGTCTGTGTCTAGAGATCTCCAGTCCAGGCACCTCCTCGGCGGCATTCTGGGTTGCCTGACTCTCCTCGTCTAGGGGCAAGAGAGATTCCCCCACCCCCAAGACTCTTGCGGGACGGAGGAGGGCTCTGCCCGCGCCCCAGGCTTCAGCCGGCAGTCAGAAGGCTCCCCGCAGAGGCACAAGCCATGTTGATTTTACGGAGAAGGCTGCTATGCACATTTCACTGCTGATTTATTGGTTTTTAACTAGATCCTTATGCTGGGCTAAAAAAGCCATCTTGCACTTTGTAAGGCTCTGCTGACTGCTGCTGAAAATGACACAGGGGCTCCTCCTCCCCTCCCCCACCCCACCTTATCCTGCCGAAGAGGCGAAGAGGCGACGGTGGAGGTGTAAGCCTGGGATATGAGTCTAGGGCCCTCTTCTGAGCAAGGAACTTTCCGAGGCAGCCTCCCAGCCACTGACTACCTGCGGTGTGCACCTGGGTGAGTGTGTTGGTGAGTGGAAGACTGCATGGGTCTGAAGGGAGGGTCTGGGAAAGGCTGGAACATACTGCTCACGTTTTCTCTCTCAGACACCATAGAGCTCTCGCTGTACATTTTAATGAACTTGGGAGGGAGGGGGTCAGCAAATGAAGAGGGACACCCTGGTTCTTTTCTTGGCTGTGTGATTTGGGAAAGTCACAAAAGCTCTCTGATCTCCTCTAATTTGTCATCTCTTACCTGTGATGTGAGGATCAAACAGAATCTTGTTTTAAGCTCTTCTAGCCCCAGGCCCAGCACACAGATCACAGATGGGGTAGGGACTTAATGGTTAGAGTCCCTTTAGAGTCTTTCCACTCTGGCTGTTAACTCCTGACAATGGAAGACTCCTCAGCAGAGGTTGGCTAACTTCACACCACCTCCTGGGGCTGCATATAGTGTTTCATAATTCAAATGGAAGATTAAACAGTATAAACCACACATGTATAAATTATAAAGCACCTTCAATCCATCAGCTTACCACATCCTCAGGTAAGTTCTATGAGGGAAGAGACAGGCTAAGTCTCCCTGACTGTATGTAGGGGCTTTCTCAGACCTGTAACTTGGAGCTGGGATGGACAACTTATGTCTTGATGTCCTGGTTGCCTCTCCTATTACGTAGCAGCACTCCCCTTTTCCAGAACAGTTTCATGGGAAGATTGTTGGTGCACACATGGTGTAAATTCATGATGGGAGCCAGGGGAGCTTTTTAGGGGATGGAGACCCACATAGCCAGCCACCTTTAAGAAGGCCCCTTTGGCCAATCCTGGAAAAGCCACCAGAGAATAGGGTGGGCACAGTGAAGACAGGTCTGATTGAGACCCCCACAACTCAGGGAGCTGAAGGAGGATGCTTATGCATCTGTAGAATCCATCAGCGGCTTGATGGGTCGCTGTTAAACAAAGATGGGATAAGGTTACATGTGTTTTCCGTGGGAGTCGGCTCCAATTTCAGCCTGATGATTTAGTCAGGTGTAAGCATGAAGTTTCCAATTTAGAGGAATAAATCTCCAGTGATTTTATTATCCCCTGTTTTACCCTGACACCCAACTTCACCCCGGCCCCCTGTCAAAGCCCTCATGATGTGTTTATATAGGGCGCACTGTAATTGATTGGCGTGCAATAGAACATGACACAGAAAATGTGGCCTTCCCCACCAGGCTAACTCTGGAAGCTTCCATATTTCATCATCCTCCAGGCCCAATCAGTGGCTCCCACTCACTGTGGTCACAAATTCCTGGGATTCTGGGTTGTCTGTGAATAGGAGTATGGGGCCAAGAGGTTCAGCTGGAACCCCCCAGGTGGTCCCGGAGAGTGTTTTGGCCTGGGGCTGTGGGATGAAGAACACCAGAGAAAGGCTTCTGCCCTGGGCTATTGGACTGACTGGATTCAGGACTCAGAGATTCTGCCTGATGTGAGAGTAGCCAGATTCAATTTTCCATGGCTCTAAGATATGGTCATTCCAATGTCCTAAGCTTCTAAAAAGGTCAGTTTTGAGTAATATGTTGTTTCAAGTGTCTATGAGTCCATGGTATTAGAGTAATACATCTACAATAAGACCATGTGATATAATGGTATGCTGTAGTAATATCACTAACAAATATGAATGCAAACATAGAAGTGGATCTTCATATTAACAGCAATGTTAAAGCCAATATTAGTTTCGATATTGTCATTTATTAAGACTTTTAACATGCTCAGCATGCTACTAGGCGGGCTGTACATTCTTTTATTTAGCTTTCCCAACAATGTTATGAAGACATTGCTATGTTCTTTTGTACATGGTACCAATGAAGATCAAGAGGGTAATAACATTTAAATTGGGTTGTTTAAGATTCTGAAATCTTAGTGTTACTACATTATAGGCAGCAAGCCAAAGTGGGGAAAGCAGACAGATGTGGGGTGAGAAGCAGTCTCAACCCCTTGAGTTGTCAGGAGCATACTTCATAAATGCTCATAATCTAGTCCATGGTCATTGACCCTGTCCTCAGCCCCAGGAGGTATTAAGGTAAAGATCATCCAAGTCCTAGGGTGGAGAATGAGGGCCCAGACAACCCAAACTTTGATGGCAGAAAGTTTCCTCTGAGTCCTCTAGAACCCTACAGTTTCTTAGTCTAAAGGGGAAAAGATCACTGTAGCTTAGTCTTTCAATCAACATCTGGGTCCTTCCTGCTCCCTGCCTCCTGTCATGAGTGGGACACATCCAGTGATAGCAATCCTCTGCTTATAATGAGCTAAAGATTACTTTGTTGTAGCTTTGACTTAGGGTTCTCAGCTCTGTCCTGTAGGGCCACAGAACACATCTGCTTCCCGTGCTCCATGACTCTGGAGAGTTCAAGATACAGTAAATCGAATCTGTTTACCCACTAACCACTCATCCATCAACACTCTTTCCACCCTTCCTCCTTTTATCTACTTGCTCATCCATCTATCTGTCCATCCATCCATCCATCCATCCATCCATCCATCCATCCTCCCTTCACCCACTATCCATTTTCATCAAATAGTTCAGCTATCCATCAAATTTCCACTCATCCAAAAATGATACTGGTTAGGAACTCTGGGGTGAGGCATAAATATATGCTTTTAGTAAACTTGAAGAGATCAATAAGCAAGATTTATACTTACTGATCTTACTTATTTCAAAATACTTATCATCTCCGGACTTTCTTGGCAACTTGTCCCTTCACGCCCAGTGAGGAGTCCAGTTTCTGCATGCAATCAGGATGGAGAGGAGAGGGGTCAGTGTGGGTGAGCTCAGGGTAATTTCTTGTGCTCTTCACTTTACAGACTGGGGACTCAGATACAATCTTTGCTTGGACCAGCACTGAAGTTCTTCTGTCCCTAACCCCATTCAAGTCCACCCACCCATTCCTTTGTTCAGCACAAACATTGCCTTGTGTCAGATTCCTCAAATATGGTGGTGAGCAACACCTAGGTCCTTATGCTTGGAGAGCTGATCATCAAGCAGGGGAAACAAATGCTGAACAAACAAGCCAATGATTAGGATGCTTTTGGATTGTGAAGGGTTATTAGGAAAAATAGAAGTCCACAGAGCAGGAAGGCAGACATTGTTTTAGACAGGACAATCAGGAGTCTCTGGCAGTTTTCACTGGAGATGCAGAAGATGGACTAGGGTCAGAGGTGGCGGGAGACTTGGGCTCCTGGTTGTAGAGAGAGAAACAGTAAACCAGGAGGTAGGCACTGAGAGTGCCCTTGAAAAAACTGCCCCGGAAACCAACCCTTGGTGCTCTCCACAGGGCATTTCTGGGTTTACTATGCTTGTCTGGCTGGACACCACTCTCATTCCTGCTGAGGAACAGAGACAAGTGATTTGTCTGGATTCCAGAGTGGGCCAGGGGGAATCAGGACATATCGTGTCCAGTGTGCAATGTGGCTCCTGGTGCTCACCTGTCCTCCAGAGTCCCGTGTCTCTGCTGCTCTGTATGGCAAGCCTCTCCACTCCACCTGTTCCCTTCAGGAGTGAAGGCATTGGGGGGGGGGGTCTTCTTCCTTTAGGTACAGAGCATAGAGTTTGCATTATCTGAGCTGATCTGGAGGCTGGGCATCCAGATACTTGATCTCCACCCTGGCTCTGGCTTGCTGAGGGACACTGGGAAATCTCTATCCCTCTGAAGAGCTCAGCTTGCCTCACTGTAGAGGGCTAAGCTAGGCAGCCCCTATGAATCTTTCTAGGGAGAACACACTTGGTTTGAATGGGGATAAACTAGATGATGACTTCAGCATTGAGGGCTCAGTTCTGATATCATATGCAGCTACCCTATGAAACAATTTTCTTAATGTAGCAGTACATTTTACCTTCCTGAAAGCTGACATCCAGACACAGGGTTAAGGTGGGATCTAGCCTTGAGGAATTGATGGTGCTTTGCTGGTATCCAAAGATGATTCACTACGTATCATAACTCCTGGTGTGCAAAGCCCTATGAAGTTCCCACTCATACTGAATCTGGACTCACCTGCTGTGACTCCTTCAACCAACAGAATGTAGCAAGGGACCTGAGGTTCTGGCTGGAAGGTATTTTATTGATGTATAATGAATTACTACATACTTAAGGCTTAAAATAAAACCCATTTTTTTTGTGCATGTTGAGACATGGTGTGGGTGGGCTCCTGCTCAGGATCTCATGGGTTGAATCCTCTGGAGCCCCTGTTCCTTGTTCAAGTGCATGCTGGTTGCTGGCAGAACCCAGTACTTTGTGACCACAGGCCTGAAGTCCATGTGCCAGGATGTGCACATGTCAGCTCATTAAGTTCACACAAGAGCTCTAAGAAGTGGGAAGTAGCATAGCCCCATTTTACAGATGAGGAAATAGAACACAGAAGTGTTAGATCACTTGCTCAGTGTTACACAGCCAGGAAGGGACAGGTCCCATCGCTTCTCTGTATGCATGATCTAATTATGAGAGTCTAGAATTTCAGAATTCTAGAAGTATAAGATTCAACAACCTCCTAGCTATTGACAGCCCCAGATTCTATCTGCTTGAAGATTCTTGAATTCTCAGGTGCTAAGATTCTAGTATTCTCATATTCCAGCTTGAAAGGCAAATGCCTTCCATCTGTAGAGGTGAGGGTCAGGGACTTGAGGGAGAGTGACCCTCAGCTTGCCAGTCTCTCTGCTCCAAGAGTCCAAGAGGCTGCTGCTGCCCCTTGAGGAACTCAGTTCATGTCTCTGAAACCTGACACCTCTTTAGAACGGGGAGCCCTGGGTAGTTGAGAGCAGGAGGGAGACCTCACCAATAATGCCTGCAGCATCCTCGGAGAAGGGCCAGAATAAGCAGTAAGCCTGGGACACGGAGTTCCCTGAAAATGATAACATTCCCTGCACCCTGCAGACCCCACACAAACCTATGTTGCTTTCAGCACTGCTGAGGCCAGAGGAGGAAGAGGGAGATGGTGCGACCACCACCCCAGGCAGGCTTATTTCTGATGGAGCCTGGGCATAGT